TGTGCAGACACTCTTATATTCCAAACCTCATATTCTGCTGCTGTATTCCAGTAATAGGACTTGGACAAATTGGAAGGATTTTCTCAGGGAAAATCTCAATACATAAAATGTGTGTTTATTATTTTCTTTCTCCTACTTTTATTTCTGCCTATTTTAGTTGGCCAATCATTTAAACAATTAAAGATTTACAACCTGTAGTTTACAGAGCTGACTATGGTAATTAGAGGATCAACGTTATATAGTTTGCTTTTTAATTATCAAAATATTGAATTTGATTAAAAATTAAAATAAAAATTATCATATATTTCTGGGTAATTTATCACATGTAATTAAAAAAACTAATGTTAAACAGTGGTTAAAAATTATATTTCAAAATGCTTTAAATTTGTGAATGGATTTCTTTGATTTTTAACAATAACAGGGTTTTGAATATATATTAAGATTAAAAACTAGGATGTAAGAAAAGTCACTTACTTGTGTTCTTTAGGTAGTATACAGAGTGTTGACCTATATTTGTTATATTAAAAAATGAAATGCTGACACTCAAATGCCAAATATTTTTTGTTTAAAGGTCCCACTTAAAACCCACAACACATTGTTTTTTATATTACTGATGAAAAATTAGGTTTTGATTATTTGGCTTCTTTATTCTTTCATTTTTAAGGAAACAACAGTTTAGAAACCTGTGTAAACCCTCTGTATTCTCTGTCCTCAAGTCCTTGGAACAATGGGATATGATCAGACAGTCTTCTCCAGATCATCATGACATAATTGCCTCTTTTAGGTTGGAATCTCCTCACCACTCCACACCAAATCCTTCAGCTCAACCTCTCTGCAGCTTCCAGTATCCATTAGAAACCAGACTATGTGGGATTAGCCTACCCTTTCATTACCTGACCCTCTAGATGGCACCCATATGACATCTTTCCTTTAATATTCAACTAATTTTTTTATAAATGATCATCTACCCATGGAAAATTTGTAATTTTGCTTTTCAAGGAGAAAAAGGTCAAAGATAAAATGTAATGAATTGAAAGGATTTGAAAACAATCCATAATGGCCTCCTATGCAGGTGCTTGTACACACACACACACACACACACACACACACACACACACACCTACTTTTAATATGAAGATGAATCTCCTGTGTCTCAGACTTCATCTGAGTAAACTTCTTAGTTATTCATATAATATCACTACAGATTTTAAGTCTACTGAGGCAGATTCTCCTGTACTTGTTATTCTTTAGACTTTTGACCTTTGTAAGCATCTAAATCAATCCTTACTCATGTCAAATATAATACACTTACTTCTTTTTTTTTCATCATTACACCTTTTAGTAAAAAGCAAACATAATAGGTAAGGACTATTTATCAATGGCAGACTTTTATAGTCTCAGATATATTAACATATATCCCCATGCTACAAATATTTCCATAAACTTTCCATTACTTTATTAGTATAAGATCTCTTTGTGATTTCCATATTTTTGACTCAGGGCATTTAGATCAAATACTGAAAAATACATATTGAAATTTCATCAACAAAACTAAAGCAATATTATCATATGATCATGGTAATTATATGGATTAGAATAATGTTTGGCTCTGGTAACATATGAACATTACATTGCTTATATATTAGATTATACTTTTTTTATTTTAGTTTTGCAATGGTTTATATTACACAAAATACAGAGAAACATTTGATCCTTTATTTCTAGATTGCATGGGCCTTACACTGTTATGAAGGACTTTGAAATTGTAATGCCTCATTTACTGAAGAAAGGTCATGACACCGATTACTTTAAGGAACAATATAAAAAATAAATAAGATAGAAACATTCTATATAAGAACACTAAAGTTCAAGATTAAATAGGTAACTGGACAGCTAAAGCAAAAACTACCAAAGTTCAAGGTCCCTAAGCATTTAAATTAAGATGTCCTATATCTAATTCATCTCTGTACATTGAAGTCTAACCTCCGCTCCTGGTTCAAATAGGCTCTACTTTATATATTTCCATGAACTTTTGCCATCATATGATCAATCCAGAAATAAAATTCATATTCTTTTCTCTTTTGAAAATACTGTTTTATGAGGATCAATATGCTACCATGTACTCCCCAGGTGATTTTCTAAAGAAACAATCCCTACTGTCCTCATTTAATATGGTAACTTCTTGTCCTTGTCTCTATTTAATTCTATGCCAGAAATTAAATATTACTCTGAGGAATTTTTTTTGACTGTCTGTAAGACATCTATATATGATGGTCTTATGATTTTAAGTAATTTGATTGTACAGAGTCTTGATATGAAAGTGCATCTGTAATGTTTGTAATAACATTTATAAAATGTTAAATATTTTGTCATTTAACACTAGTGAATAGACATTGAATTATGGAGACATATTCTTTGAAATGATATTTGTTGAAAAACACATCTAATTGCATCTGCCTCATGTTTAAGTCTCTCCGTCAATAGCCTGTAATCTTACTGTACTACTTCAGAAGACTCTAAGAACAGACACCTCCTTCAGGGACTAAGTCTTGTTACAAGTTTTGCTCCTGTTCTCACAGCATCACCTAAATATAGCTGTTTTCATCACTCTGTAAAAACAGCATGCTTTGAACTTCATCTTCTCTCTGTCCAGAAATTACCACTGTTTTGCTCACCTGGATAATTCCTCTTTGGCAGCATGCTGTGTGTCAAGGTCAAGAGAGTGAGCAGTGATGAATTCCATATCAAACACCAAACATGAAATCATGACTGGAGGCTATCATTTCATGTGTCCTTATATGAGGAAATGCTATATTAAGAAATACCTAAATGGAAAATGAAAGCAAAACATGTACCTAAAAATGCATAGTCAATGCTGTAATAAGTTGACCTAATACATGTTTATATTTTTAGTAAAAGCAATAAAAAGGATATTATAATGGGTAAGGGGTAGCATTTTAAAAAAAGATGATGGAAATAAATAAGGAAGGAGGAGGAAAAATAAAACAAGAATAAAATAACAATAAAGATGTCTGTAAAGTCATAAGGAATTACATTATTAATTATATACTTAAAACAAAAGTATAATACACATAAATCTGTCTAGAAACATACAATACAAATTTAATTTTCTCTCATCTGGATGAGAATGCCCACTTCAAGAGGCAAAATCCATCAAACAAACCTCAATCCCAGGCATGAGAAGCCCTCTTTTGTGGTGTTGTTCAGAGTTGTCCAAGAATCTCCCAAATCATTACAGAATATTGTTACTGTCTTTGGCTGCTCCCCAGAAGTAGAAGTTAGCCCTTTTTGCAGAAGACATCATCAGTTTATACACAAGGCCCAATGGCCCCTGAACTGGAACTGACTGAAATGCTTCTTCCATGAGGAATATCTCTTATGGTACCAGATGGTGAAATGACAGCTTCTAAAAGAAGGAAGCAACCAATATCCCTCCCTAGCTATGATGCCCATGAACCACAAAAATGACCAACACAAACGATAACCATAAAGTTACAATAGTGACAAGCATACCTTGATAGTAACCAACATCTTTCTAATTGGACTTAAGGCCTGCTCAAAAAAAAATGGCTTATACTGAAAAGATAGCCAAAAATCCAGGACTATTGAAATCATAAATCTTGAAATAGAACCTACAACTGCTACATTACTAAATGAAAATCATCCCTAGCTACATTATAAATACTTGTCCTTAAACCCACAGTTAAATGTAGTCTACACCCCTTATCAGAGAAACATCTCTCTGCAATAAAAGAAGATCACTAGAGAAAAACACAACCAGTCAAAATGCAGAGTTCTAGAGTCCAGTCCCAATGGATACCTCTACAAAATAACCCCTGCACCTAAGTCTCAGGAAACATTGAAAAGGGGGTAGAACAACCTAAGATCCAGTATATATGCATATACACTTATGAATATAACAACAACTAACATAAAAGAGGCCAGGAATTTGAAAAAAAGAAAGTAGAAGTATTTTAAACGGTCTTGAGTGAAGAAAGGAATGTGGGTAATGATGTAATAATAATCTTATATATAGAAGATATAATTAAAATATTACAATGTAATTTGATGAGTTCAAATATATTCAGATAAAACATGTGCAAACTGTTTTAAATGCTGTGATAATAAAGTATTGATGCTTAATGATATTCTGCTATAGTCATAGATCAGTGACTTATCCAGTCATCATCAGAGAGGTTTCCTCCAGCAGCAGATGAGAGCAGGTGCAGAGACCTGCAATCAAATATTACATGTCAAGAGAGTCTAAATGGGAGGGCTCCATCAAATTCCTTCTCTCAGAACTCGGGGAATCCTGAGGCAGAAAGATTGTAGGGGCCAGAGGAGATGCAGGACACCAGGAGAACAAGGCCCCCTGAATCAGTTTATCAGGGTGCATGTGAGCTCACAGAGACTGAAGCAGCAAGCACAGGGCTACCATGGGTCTGTACCATGTCCTCTGTGTACATATTAGAGCTACTAGCTTAATATTTCTGTGGGACTTCTAATCCTATTGTTTTCTTTTTCTTTTTCTTTTTCTTTAAAAGTTTGTTTTTCCATTTTACATACCAACCACAGTTCCCCCTCTGTCCTCTCCTCCAGCTCACTCCCCTCCCCCCACCCCACCTTTCTTCTACTCCTCAGAGAGGATAAGGCCTCCCATGGGGAGTCAACAAAAGTCTAGCATATCAACTTGAGGCAGGACCACCCCCCTCACCCCTGTATTGAAGCTGAGCAAGGTATCCCTCCTACCATTGGGAATGGGCTCACAAAGGCCAGTTCATGCACTAGGGATAAATCCTGGCCCCACTGCCTGTGACCTCACATACTGCCTTATGCCACACAACTGTCACCCACATTCAGGGGGCCTAGTTCGGTCCCATGCAGGTTGCCCAGCTGTGAGTCCAGAGTCAGTGAGCTCGGATTAGCTCAGGTCAGCTGTCTCTGAGGATTTCTCCATCATGATCTTGACCCCTTTGCTCATCCCTCCTCCCTCTCTTCGATAGGACTCCAGGAGCTCCACCCAGTGCTCAGCTGTGGGTCTCTGCATCTGCTTCCACCAGTCACTGGAAGAATGTTCTATGATGACAATTAGGGTAGTCATCGATCTGATTACAGGACAAGGCCAATTAAGAGACCCTCTCCACTATTGCTTGGAATTTAAGGTGGGTTCACCTTTTTGGGTTCCTGGAATTTCTCTAGCACCAAGATTCTCGCAAACCCCATAATGACCCCTTCTATCAAGATATCTCTTTTTTTGATCCTCCTCTCTCTCCCTCCTCCAACTTGATTATTCAGTTCCCTCACATTCTTTTGCCACCTCCCTTATCTTCTCCCCGTACCCCCCACTTTACTCAGGTGGTCTTATCTATTTCCCCTTCTTAGGAGATCCATGCAAGTCTCTCTTAGGGTATTCCTTGTTAATGAGCTAGAAAGAGAAAAGGAATGGATCCACAGAGAGGAGGAGAGGTGGGGAGGAAGGAGGAGAGGGAAGGGAAACTAAAATCAGGATATATTGTATAAGAAAAGAATCTGTTTTCAATAAAAGCAAGAAAAATAAATAAATACATAAATAAGTAAAACTTAAGCTTAGTGAAACCATGTACTCTGTGATGGCATGGAAAAGATAAAGCTTTTTATAAAAACATATTATAAGTGGGTCTTGTGATAATGTACATTTATAATTTCTGGTATTTATAATAGTATCTTTTATTGATATTGAAATCGTTTTTATTTTTCTCTAAGGCCATGTCCATACTAAGGATATATGATGTGGTGTATCAGGTGAAACCATTTACTATCTCTTTTCTAAAGTACTTATTTCTTCAGTCACCTACTTATACACAGAGACATTACAGTTACATCCTAATTGAGATTCAAATTTCTAATCTATATGGCGTTGAGAATGTCTTTTAAATATACAAGAATTTTGCAAATATAATATGGCAAGTGATACAGATGCAAATTTAAGACAAAATTTAATTAAAATTATGAAACTATATCTGAGAAATGGATGTCATAAAGCCCATAGGGACTAAGCTTCCTTCCTGTGAGAGATATAAGGGTGTAGGTGGAAGAGAGGCATGCATAATCAGTACTGGCCCTTAAGTACATCTCTTTCTGAGGAGAAACCTTTTTGTTCACAAGCTGATAAAACTCCTGACTGTAGTCAACTTTGATGAGGTAGGAAAATATACCATTAATTGTTTCTTTAGGTTGATGAGCAGAATTGCTGGGACGCAAGCTCAGGCTTTGGACAGGCTAGACACATGTTCTGCTTAATCTATGTCACCAGCCTAAGTTTTGTAAGTAAAATCCCCAGGCTGAGAGTCCCCAAGGACAGAAGATCTGTGAGCAGCGTGAACATCTCCTGCGACTGCAACAGCTCCATTTGTTTGTCTGTTTGCTTTCTTTTTTCTTCTTCATTAAACTGCTATATATAATTCTGTGTTATACTGAAGTAAGTACACATGCTTGGACACTAATAAAACACTGATTTAAAAATATAATTACATGGGACAATAGTTCTCCAACATTCAGATACTAGAAATTCAAATTCTCTTTATTAATAACTCATAACTGAAGTAACAAATAAAAATTAAGAATACTGAACCACAAAGCCTTGGAACAATGGAACTAGAATGCTTCTTATTTCCTAATTATCAAAATAATAAACAGAATTAACAAAAGATACATAAGCACACATGCATTTACCTGTCATATATTGAGGATTTTTGGAAATTACTCCTTTCCAAGGAATTAACTAAGGAAGTTTGGAGACTGTATCATCAAAGTATGTTGAATTAGTGTTGGTCATCACCTCACTTGCTTTCTTGAGAATTAAAGACAAAAAATCATCATATATCAAAATTTCACAATACTATTGCACCACCCCTCAGGATTCAATCAGATAAAGGATGAAGTTGTTACTGTAAACAGAATTTGTACAGTCTAGGTTATGGTTAAACTATATCACTTGGATTATTCTGGGAAGAACAGACAATAGCAATATTTACTTATAGAAATATTTGAAAATAATACAGTATGAAAGTGATAGTAACTTGAATGTATAAAGTGGTAATTGTGAAAGGTGGCTAAATTTAGAGAGCTGTTGAAGGTTGGTCCAGGAAGATATGCAAATGAACTTGATTGAATAACTAGAGAAATTAATGAATTTCTTAGGCTTCATTTTAATCATCATGATAATAAATTCCAATTTATTAACCAGCTAGAAAGAAGGAAAGAAATTACCAAAAGGAAAGAAACATGGAAATGAAAGTCTATGATAAAGTTACATAGACGAAAAAAAGATTCAGGCCATGGTATATACAAATACATATATACCTAGAGGTCTCATGTTTAACATTGTCACCTTGACAAGATCTGGAATCAGATAGAAGAGATGTCTTTGGGCATGTCTATGAGGATTTATATACAAAAAGTTATCCTCTGAACACGTCTACAAGAAGTTTTCTCGGCTGGAGTACTGGTGTTAGGTCACACACACTGAGTTAATTTGGCCCTAGTTCATTTGTTGAGGGCCTCACCTTCATAAGATGAAGAAAGCTAGCCAAGAACTCATCCCTTTGTGCTTCCTGAGTGTAGACACATGTGATGAGCTGCCTTATATTCCCAAACCTCCTTGCTGTGATGTACTATATCTCCCAGAACTGGAGTCTGAAATATATCCTTCATTCCTTGACTTGATCCTATCAGTTATTTTTGTTACAGCAGCAAGAAACAACTAACACAGAAAGCACCAGTAGTGACAGTGGTAGTTTAGTTAGGAGCAAGTGGAAAAGACTTTTTGGATAATGTCTTTGGGAAAATATATATTTCCAGGTTAAAGTCATGATGAAGAATAAGCAAAAAATACATTATCAAAGGGTTTCATTTAAAATTGAATCTAAATTCTTTGGTAATGAGATGTGGTTTTGTTCTAAAACTATAACTACTGTTAATTTCAAATTGAACCATTTGCTTAGGGTGAAAGAAAGAACACCCAGAAATGTAACATATTCACAATGACTTCATATCTCAGGGACTGTGAGAGGTACAGATTTTCTACAACTTAGTTTGGGTTTTGCTATTCAGCTTCATTTCATTTTCTTCTATCTCCAAGTTTTTCTTCCCAAAACCCAGCGATATTCAGGTGAGTAAAGTGGTTTGAAAACAGAATTTTACTAATAACCTTATTTTTCATTTGATCAGACAGCTAATGAAAATATGTTTACTACACTTGTTTTTGTTTTTGACAATTTCATACACTGAATCCAAACATCAATAAAAATATTGTTTGTAGGTAGAATAGTTAAAAATATCTCTGTGTGTGGTTTTGAATGAGTGGCTTTATGCATGATACAGCAAGAAGGAATCAAAAAATGAAGAGCAAGAAGCAGAAAGAAGGCAAAGTGTCAGAATAGTCACTTCTACCATCTAACAATACTCCCTCGGGAAGACTCCAAAACAAACACACAAGATCATCTGGGGCCTCTGATCCACAAAGAGGGTCCCAGGTATACTGTCTTCTCCAGGTAAGACTCCAGATTAACTGTTCCCACCACAGGCCTTTTTGTGATAGGGATAAATATGGTAGCTGAGTGTCTTTTGCTTTGGGAAGGTGCTTGAGAATACTTACCTTTGAGCTGTGTTCACCAATGCAGTGTTTTACTCTCCTTTTGTTCACAAGGACATGGTGTCGTGGTGGTGTGAGTAAGAATAGCCCACCCTATAGACTCATATATTTGAATGCTTAAGGAGTGGCATTAAGAGGTGTGGTTTTGTTGGAGTGGGTGTGATTTGTTGGAGGAAGTATGTCACTGGGGGTGGGCTTTAAGGTTTTATAAGCTCCAGCCAGGCCTAGGGATCACTTTCTCTTCCTGATACCTATGGATCCAGATGTATAATTCTCAGCTACCTCTGTAGCACCGTGTCTGCCTGCATGCCATCATGCTTCCCCGCCATGATGATAATGGACTAAACCTCTGAACTGTAAGGCAGCCACAATTAAATGTATATTTGTGTTACATTTTGGTGCCCAATGTGGGGCTCGAACCCAGGACCCTGAGAATAAGAGTATCATGCTCTACCAACTAAGAATGTGGTGATATTGTATTTGTGTTTTAACAAATAAATGTCTTCCTTTATAAGAGCCACCATGATCACAATATCCCTTCACAGCAATAAAAATCCTAAGACAGAAATTTGTATCGGACACTGGGGTATTGGTGTGATAGGCCTGACTGTGCTTTTGATTAGAGAAATGTGGACTTTGGGACTTTGAATTATTTTGGTTGTGAGCCTAGCCTCTAACAGCTGAGCCATCTCTCCAGCCCTGGGACTTTGGATTATAAACACAGTCAAATGCTTTAAGCAGGGATTGATTAGCCGTAGAAGTAGGAGCATGGAAGAGAGTGGTGCTGAAGATCATTGGATGAACTTGAGGATCAAGAGGTTTCAGAGGAAAAGAATGGTAGTATGTGGCCTACAGACTCTTCTTGTGACATTTTATTTATTTAAGTATCTTAGAAAATTAATTGTGGGTCAAAATGAGATCAGAAGGAATTGTGGAGAGAGAGATGTAATGCAACTACAGGTGGCAGGGGAGACAGCTGGAATTGGGGGGCACTTGCGTGGTGGTATGGAAACCTAGCAATGGAAACTTCCTGGAATCTATGAAGATGACCCTAACAAGGACTCCTACTAGTGGAGGATAGAGTCTCAAGTGGCTGTCTTTTGTAGGCAAACAAATGCTTCCACTGGAGAGACTGAACTGCATTTGATTGGGTTACTGGCCAAGTGGGTCCCATGGAAATCCCCAAACAATCTAGGCCATCACTAGGAGAAAGGATTGCTCTCTGCAAACAGACAGCAAAGCCCCAGTCCTGAGGACAACATCCAAATGACACATTGGTCATGAAAAACTTGAGCTGGTGCCAACATGAAGCCTTTGCCCATACAGTCTAGTCTCTGGTGCAGGCAGATACTTTGGAGGCTACAAAAGAGAAATGCGGACACTAACCCAGTCACAAAATATTTGACCTGTAGTCTCTCCTGCCCACAAAATATGTCAGGGTAATGATGGCACTATGCTTGTGGGAGTAGCCAACCAATATCTGATTTGACGTAAGTCCCACTCCACAAGAGGGAACTCATACTCAATACTGCTTGGTTATCCAAGAACCAGAGACTGAGTAACCCAGAGATTTGGGGTAAAAGCAAACACTATTGCTCTAAAATTAAAAAATAAATCAATACAATGATTTCTAATGATATTCTACTATACACACAGATCAGCTCCTTATCTAGCTGTCATCAGAGAGGCTTCCTCTGCCAGAAGATAGGAACAAGTTCAGGGACTCACAGCCAGACATTATTCATAAAGAGAGTCCAAATGGGAAGTCCCCATCAAGTCTCTCCCCTCAAAGCTCAGGGAATTCTGCAGAAGAGATGACAGAAAGATTTTAAGAGTCAGAAGGGATGGAGTACACCAGGATAATATAGCCCTCTGAATCAACTAAGGAAGGTACCTATGAGCTCAAAGAGACTAAAGCAGCAAACACAGGGCTTGCAAAGGTCTACACCCGTCTTCTGCATTATGTGTGTGTGTGTGTGTGTGTGTGTGTGTGTGTGTGTGTGTGTGTGACACAAAGTGTTAGATGGTCTCATTAATTAAAAAAAAAATACCTGGAGGCAGATATGGGGTAAAATCTGAAAGATCAGAGAAGCAGAACAAGCCACAGCTAATCTCACCTCATCAACTCCTCAGCTGATCGCTTTCTTCAAACTGGAAGCTTCTGAGTTGTAGCTAGAGTTTTCCTGCCTTGCCCACAGTCAGGACAAATCTCTGTCACCCGCTAGTCCCACAGCCGCTCAGACCCAACCAAGTAAACACAGAGACTTATATTGCTTACAAACTGTATGGCCGTGGCAGGCTTCTTGTTAACTGTTATAGCTTAAATTAATCCATTTCCATAAATCTATACCTTGCCACGTGGCTGGTGGCTTACCGGCGTCTTCACATGCTGCTGGTCATGGCGGCGGCTGCAGTCAGTCCTTCTGCCTTCCTGTCCTTTTATTTCTCCTCTCTGTTAGTCCCGCCTATCCTTCCTGCCTAGCTACAGCCGATCAGGTTTTATTTATTGATCAATCAGAACAACTTGACATACAGACCATCCCCCAGCACAGCCAAGTGCAGACCATGTCAAACACCTGCACTCAGGCCCATGGTCCTAATCATCCTCTATACGGACCTGCTCGGACCTGCTGGGTAACGCCACAAAGAACCCAAGAAGGGCTCCCACAGGACATACAGAACATCCCACAGCACTGAGTCCTCAACCAAATGGATCTCAGCTGAACTGCTGATAAAAGCCTAAAAGCTTAAAAACCTCTAGTTCCTGTTCCTTACACTTTATGTACCTTTCTGCTTCCTGCCATCACT